GGGGTGGGGGGACCATGCAAATAGGTGTGTAAATTAGGGAGATATTTGAAGATTAGTCTGTGTTGCTTATATTTACGTAACATAGTTTTGGGCGCGTTTCCTGATGTTGTTGGTATTGGCTACACAGGTTAAAAACCAAGTCCCTTCCCTCCGCAATTAGGGTATTTTGATAAGGTCGTTTGCCCACCTCCGTCGGTGTTTAATGCCATGTTATGATTTCAGTTAACCTTCAGAATCGAGCTATATGGGAGTCAGCATCCAGCGGCCCTTTTTCCTTGAGAAGATGAGTAGCTCAGACTTACAGCCCTGGCCCAGCGCGCACCATTTTAATGAGAGGTGGCCGTGGCGCTCGGCTCGGGTCTCCAGGGTGGATGGGCTGGAGGTTTGGGTCTCCGTGGTCTTTGCCCTTTGTTCCTTTTCTCTTCCTGCTCCAATCTTCTTTATCTGGTTTCTCTCCCCTCCCCCACCCTCTTCCCTCTCTCCCTCTCTCTCTCTCTCCGAATACTTAAAATTTCTCTTTTCCCCTCCTCTGTTGTTCTACCTTCGGTCTTTAGTGTTTTGATCCCCAGTTGCCTTTTTAATATTCTAGCTTATTAACTAAAAAATTTCCCTTTCTCTGTCTTTGGGCCTTGCCTTTTTTCTTTGTAGACATTTTCTTAGGCCCTCTCCTCTTCTTCCCAATGTGTTTTATGCTTTTCTTGTTTTTAGAAGGGCCATTCTATCTCCATTTTAACTTCTCCCTTCCCTTCTCAGTGGCCCTATTTGGCCTTTTTTTTCTCGCTCTCTGCAGGGCAGCAGGGGTGTTTTACATATGGAAGGGGCCTTTGACTAAGTCGGCTGGCATGCTAGTGAGGTTCCTTGAACGGCCCTTCCACGTGCGAGGCCTCTCACACTTCCTGCGGTAGGAACTCTCTAGGAACAGCCAGCAACCCGCCCGCCTCCTCTCTTTGAGCCGTAGAACTTAGTCACTGGAGGAAACTAAGCTAGGTGGTGCCTTTTAAAAGGAAATGTTTTAAGTCTTGTCTTTCTCAGTCAAGCGCAGTAGCCTTTACATTCCCAGGAGCTGAGTGGAGTGACTATGAAATCAGTATTGCTTTTGCCACTAGCTCTATGTATGCAAATAACTCACCACTTTTTTGGCCACTGCTGGTGGTGAGAAGCACTGCAATATAATTTTAATAATTTTAAATTGACATGCGGGCTTGATGGTTACATCAGTTCAGCCACTTCCTGCCCTGGGGACTTTGGGAGATCCAGAAGGAGGGAGGAATATTGGGGGGAGAAGACTTTTTGACATGGTGCTGTCAATATTGTCCTTTACAGACAACAGATACAATTTAGGAAGTCACCTTTTCATTTTCTAGGCAAGCTGATTATTTTAATAATTATAAAAAATAAAAAAAAGAGGCTCTGTTTTGGGAAAGACTGTGATTACTTAGTAAGCTCAAATAACACTGAAGTAAAATTGGATCCTGTTTGTTGACCAATTTGGTTAGGTAAGTTTAAATAATGTGTGAATAATGAGCAGATCCTTACTCAGGCTAGTTTGTCATGTTTACCCTGGGGCCTGTTCCTCGCCACTTCTCCAGTCTGTCCTTAACCTTATATTCTCTACTTTGTGTTAGCATTGTGGCATTTCATGTTTCAAATTATGAGTTGGCCTCTTATCTCTTGGCTTATAATGTTTGGATCTCATACATTCCAGTCCTCTATTTCACAAGGATGTTTTAGGGGGGGAAATTTTAAATTGTAGGTTAAGGGTCTTGATGCACTCTGGTGAAAAGATTGGTTAAATAAGTAATGTTTTTGCCTGGCCTGTGTTGCTCAGTGGTAGAGCGTGGATCCATGAACCTGGAAGTCACTGTTGGATTCCTGTTAGAAGCACATGCCTGGGTTTTGGGCTTGATCCCCAGAAGGGGGCGTGCAGGAGGCATGNACATGCCTGGGTTTTGGGCTTGATCCCCAGAAGGGGGCGTGCAGGAGGCAGCCGATCCACCATGCTCTCTCATCATTGATGTTTCTATCTCACTCTCCCTCTCCCTTCTTCTCTCTGAAATCAATAAAAACATAAGAAGGGAAAAAAAGTAATGTTTTTTTCATCCCACAATTTTATTTTTGGAGTGAGGGGAGGTTGTTTAATTTTGTTTTCTCCAGAAAAATAACTCAGAGGATAGTATCAATTAATTGCATATGGTTCCCCCTCATGAGCCTGCTATATATGTTTAATAACACGGACACCGTTCTCTTATTTTCTGCTTTGGTCATGATACCCTGTAGTTATCTGTAGCATTCAGACTCCTGAATATACTCTAGGGTAGAGAAAAACTGATTTTGAAAAATAATTAAAATATCAGTTTTCATCAGAAATGAAAAATGGAATTAGTATTCAATTGTAAATGTACTTTTTTGTATGAATCCTATAATAAATAAAAGCACCAAAAAAAAAAAAAGAAAGAAAGAAAAAGAAAATGGAACATTTACTAATGTTTACAAATTATTAAGGAATATAAATTTAAGGAGATGTGTAGGGATAACTCCATATTTAAATATGGACCTATTTAATAGAATGAAGTACAGTCCCTCCTCCCCAAATTTAAAAAAAAACACACCTTGCTGCCTCTCCTCCCAGAGTTTGGCTCTGGGAATAACTTGGTTTATCACTAAAGAAGGTTATGTTTCATTAGCAGAGCCAAGGGTGATAAAATTAGAATCCTGTGAGAGCCCTTATTTTGTGTCTGATTGTCTGCTTCTTTGGCTGGGTGGTACCCAGTGATTTTTCCTCTGCAGTTGGGTTTTTCAGGGGTCATTGGCCTCTTTCATGATCTCATAAAAAGGCTGTTATCATTTAAAGAGGCCACATCTTCCCAATCTATGTTGCTCATACCTTTTCCATTCCCTTGTCAGGCTCTTTTTTCAGGAGATAAGGTTTGAGCAGTAAATATTATCTTAATTACAAGTCTGAATTTCTAAAGCACTTCAATTTAAAAATAAAAGAATATATAAGAGACAGATTGATTTATAAACTACTTTCAAAAGCAGATCCCATGACACTCTCTGGCATATCCAGATTACTTGCCTTCATATATGAATTTTAATTATCATGGCTAATTATAATACCTAGATTATATGTTTCTAATAATTTTTTTTAGCAATGCATTCTCAATTCAAGAGATGAAGCAAGCTAATACCAATATTGTTGAATTTCTAAAGAATGGAATGGATTGCTTTTCATTATCTGAAAAAAAAACAACAAAGAACGAAAATTGCTGACTTTCTGGAGATTGCAAATGGAATGGCTTTTGTTTTCTAAAAATGTTGGCACAAAAAGCAATGGCCTTTGGAGAAAATATATAAGTTTTTCACAAGCAAAGAGTTAGTGCAAGCCAAAACATTTTTGTTGTTGTTGTTGTTAAAGAAAAGGGGAAACAGTAAGCTTAGATGCCAAGAACTCAAGTGAAGCATTATCTGGCCTAGTGTTTGTATTTGGCACAGATTTATCAAAATGTTACTTTCCTTGTGGTAATGTTATCATTGCTGTCTATTTAAAAAACCTTTCTTACAGGCAAAATGCTTTGACTCTAAACTGTTGTGCCCTGGGATCTTACAGTATGTGGCCCACAGTGTGTTAGGTGGGAACAGAAACAAAAGAACTAGATCTTGCTTTGGTAGGGTATGTCAGATTGTGGGTTAAACTGGTTCTATAATAATAATAATAATAATAATAATAATAATAATAATAACAACAACAACTACCATTTAGCCTATTTTCTCTTATTTTTTTGTATTTTGGAGTTATAAAGTCTTTTTTTTTTTTTTTTTAAGCTCCCATGTATTAAACACGTAGTACTTGCCAGCTCCGTGCTAAGCTTATACATAACATCTTATTGTATGCCCATGATAACCCAGTGAGGCTGGTACCATTATGCTCTCATCCTATTACACATAAGGAAACTGAGGCTGTAGAGAGACCAAGGAAGTTGTCAGAATCACATGGCTAGTAATGTTTCTGAGCTGGAAACCAGGTCTGCAACACTTCCAAAGGCTTTCTTCTTACCCTACCTTACCCCACTTCCCCCTTCAACCTCAGATATCACAAGGATGAAACCAGTGCCACCAGGCTTTCCCTGTAGGAGCCCATTGATGCCTCAAAACAACTTCATGTCAGATGTAGAAACCTCGACTCAGTTAGGTGGTTTGCTGAAGGACATAGCTGGTGATCACAGGTACAAACTCAGGGCTTTTGTGACTGGGGCTCTAGGCACTAAACCAACCAGTGCATCCCAAGATTACCTGAATCAGATCAGTACAGCAAAAACAAAAGAAAAATTTCAGAATGATGGAGGGCTGTCAAGTTTTTACTTTGCCAAGTAATAACATTTAAAACAATAAGCCTATCCCACATATTTTTCGCCAAAGAAAGGACTTGTATGACATTTTTAAAATAAGACATTTTTTTTGCCTGGCCGGGTATGGCTCAGCGGTTGAGCATCGACCTAGGATCCAGGAGACTGCAGTTCGATTCCGGGTCAGGGCACATGCCTCTGGGTTACGTGCTCGGTCCCCAGTCGGGGGTGTGCAAGAGGCAGCCAATCATTGACTCTTATCATTGATGTTTCAACTCTCTCTCTCTCTCTTTCTCTCTGCCTTCCTCTTTCTGAAATCAATAAAGATATATATTTTTTTAAAAAATTAAATAAGACATTTATTTCAAATTATTTATTTATTTGAGAGAGTGAAAGGGAGGGAGGATGGGGGAAAGAGAGAGAGATAGAGAAATATTGGTGTGAGAGAGACACATCTATTGGTTGCCTCCCACATGCACCCCAAACAGGTCTGGGTAACGAACCTGCAACCAAGGTACATGCCATTGACCAGGAATTGATTCAGAGATCCTTTGTTCCGTGGGCTGACTCTCTAACCATTGAGTCAAACCGTGCATGGCTTTATTACTTTTTAAAAAAAAAAAATCTTTATTGATTTCAGAGAGAGGAAAGGAGAGGGAGAGAGAGATAGAAACATCAATGATGAGTCATTGGTCGACTACCCCCTGCACGCCACCCACTGGGGATTGAGCCCTTACGGGGAATCGAACCTCGATCTGCTGGATCCTAGGTCGATGCTCAACCACTGAGCCATGCCAGCTGGGCAGGAAATAATTTTTTAAGTACCTGAATTTGTGAAGATTGGGATTTGAGCTTTAAACTCCATGTAACAACAATAGTGTGGTTTCTGATATAAAGAAACCCCAGGCTTACCTTATTCAAAGAACTTCCTCAACTTAATCAGTTATCACAGTAACTAAAGGAGCTTTATTGTGATTCTAGAGTTTAAAGAATGCTTTAGTGGTTTTTCTACTATATTTTTCTTTTGTAGTAAAAATTTCGAGTTCCCTAATTTTAATTAATAATTGGTAATAAATGTTCTGTTTGAAGTGGGAGAATGCATTGGAAAAAGACTCAACTTCAATGTTTTCATGTTGTTTTTTGTTATTTCAGACCAAGACCTTGTGCGAGTAAGCCCAACCATGGTGCATCCAGATTCTCCTCAAGAGTGAGACTTTCCGAAGGACCAATGACTCTGTTCCCCGTGCCCTTTCATTTTTTCCTCCTACTCCATAGCTATGTCTCGATCCCGCCATGCAAAGCCTTCCAGATTCGTCAGGAGGGACGATCTAAACAAAAAGAAAAGCAGTCAGCTGAAGAAGACACCCAAGCCAGTCAACAAAAATGTGGCATCAGTCAAGACAATGAGCCCTGGAAAACTAAAGCAATTAATTCAAGAAAGAGATGTTAAGAAAAAAACAGAACCCAAACCACCACCCATGCCAGTCAGAAGCCTTCTGACAAGAGCTGGAGCAGCACGAATGAATCTGGAGAGGGCTGAGGCTCTTCTTCAGAACCCCGAGTCCTTAACTTGCAATGGGTTTACAATGACTCTCCGACGGTCCTCTCTTAGCAGGCGACTCTCCCAACCCCCAGTAATCATAGCCAAACCCAAGAAAGTTTCACCTCCTAAGAATTTAGAAAAACAACGTGAGTGTGATTATAAGGTACTTACTAATACAGAAGTCAAGCACTCAGAGAATGATTCTGTCCCAACACAAGACCCGCCAACCCCTCCTCATACAGAGAATCTAATTGGCATACAAAATGTATCTTTAATTAAAGGTGAGAGCCAAGGGACAACCCAGTCTTGGTCCCAAAGGGTTGAGGATTCCAAAATAACTTTTCCCACTCACAGTGGCCCTGCAACAGAGATCCTTTCTGGGGCATTGGAAGGGACACATGGTGACGGGTTATTCTCTAAAGAGACGTTGAATGATATCAGTGATTTCCCTAGAATGTTTGCTCAGGACACTCTGTGTGCTCCTTTGCTCCAAAGAGCAGCCCTCAAAGTTACCTCTGAAGAAAACACCAGCATTCAATTAGAAGATTTAGGTTCACGAGTAAAGTCTCTTAAGCTATCTGATTCTTACCTGGATCCCATCAAAAGTGAACATGATTGCTGCCCCACCTCCAGCTTTAATAAGGTTGTACCTGAATTGGACCTTAGAAACTGTTTGTCTATTGGTGGGTCAATATATCCTACCTCATTATTAAAACTCCTCTTGGCAGGCTCAGAACAAGGAACCCTTGGTGCTAAGCCAGATCATCTAGAGGTACTCAAAGGTACTCCAGATCAGCAGGACATTCCTGATAATACCCCTGTCTTAGGACAGGTCTTTAGTGCTGTCCCACATCAGTGGGAAGTTCCTGGTGCTAACCCAGTTCATGGAGAGGCTGTAGGTGAGAACCCAGACCCACCAGAGAACTCTGGTGCTATTTCAGTCCAAGGAGAGGTCATTGGTGCTATTCTAAATCAACAAATCCTTGGTATGGATGTTGGTACTGCCTCAGACCCACCTATCTTTCTTCCTGCTCCTCTAAACCCAACTGTTACTTATAATCCTCTCCCAGAATGTCCTGATCCCCAGACCACTGTTTCACATGGGCTTGAGGTCCAGGATACTATGCAGATTTCATCTTTGGGCTCAGGTCACACTCCTCAACCACCGTCAAACTCAGAGATAAATCCTGAACCTCCAGTAATGACTACAGGCAATATAGAAAATGAGAAGCAAGTTCATATAAGCTTTCTACTAGCTAACACACAGGGGTTCACATTAGCCCCCGAGGAAGGACTCTACCATGCTTCACAGGGCATTGCCCAACACTCCCCGTCTAGTCCCAGCAAATCGGAAGGAGGGAGCTCTGAGATCAACACCACGGTGGTGTCTGGGCCAGTGTCACTTGCCAATACCACCTCTTCTCCTTCCTACACGACTTTGCTACCTACTTTGGAAAAGAAGAAACGGAAGCGATGTGGGGTCTGTGGGCCATGCCAGCAGAAGGCCAACTGTGGTGAATGTACTTACTGCCAGAACAGAAAGAACAGCCACCAGATCTGTAAGAAGAGGAAATGTGAGGAACTGAAAAAAAAGCCACCTGTGATCATGTCTTTGGAGGTGAGTAAATGATCAAGGGCCTGGGAGACTTGATAGAGTGATCTGTGTGGAGACAGTTTGCTTCAGTATCGTACCCTTTTACTGGGATGTCAAAAGTTGCTGTAAGTTATCTGTAAGAAATTGTGGGCCTACCTGTAGTATGTCTTGTGCAGTGACACATGACTTATTTTTAGAATTTGTTTCAGAAAACTAGAACAAAGTAAGGAAATTGTATGAAATGTGATTTTGCAAATATTTCACTATGCTTCATTTGGCTAGGTTGTCTTTTTTGGAAGTTACAAATTTAAAAATTAAGAGTGGAACAAATTCATGAACTTTCTTGCTGCCTGAGAAACTAGAGGAATTAAATTTTTTTTTATGACTCCCTCTTTTTTCTTTTTCTTTTTAAAAATATATCTTTATTGATTTCAGAGAGAGGAAGGGAGAGGGAGAGAGAGATAGAAACATCAATGATGAGTCATTGATTGGCTGCCTCCTGCACACTGGGGATTGGGCCTGAAACCAGGGCAGTGCCCTGACCAGGAATTGAACCGCAATCTGCTGGATCATAGGTCCAAGCCCGCTGAGCCACGCCAGCCAGGCCCCCCACCCTTTATTTCTTAACAGAAAATTTTATTCATTGATTTTTAGAGAGAGAAACACCAATTTGTTGTTCCGCTCATTTATGAATTCATTGGTTGATTCCTGTGTGTACCCTGACCTGGGATCAAACCCACAACCTTGGCGAAGGGGATGATGCCCTAACCAACTGAGCTACCTGGCCAAGGCTTGAATTAAACTACCTTTGAAATAATAAACTATCTGCATTCTTAATCTTGAAATTTTGCCTTAGACTTTTAACAAAATACAGTTTTCCTCAATTTTTGGTAGGTGATGTCTACCTACTCTACATATCTCACAAGGTTGTTGGGATTGAGTATTAGTTAGAAGTTGAACCTGGCACAGTTGGTGCACCTGTAGTCCCAGCTTCTCTGGAGGCTGAGGCAGGAGGATCTCTGGAGCCCAGGACTGCTGGGCTCTAGTGCCTGCACTAAGTTGAGCATCAATATGGTGACTCCCGGGAGTGGGGGACTACCAGGTTGCCTAAGAAGGGGTGAACCAGCCCAGGGCAGAAACCAGCAGGTCAAACTCTGGTGCTGATCAGTAGTGGGATAGCACCTTGAATAGCCAGCCACTACATGCTAGTGTGGGCAGCACAGAGGGATTCCGTCTCTTTTGCCCTTCCCTGATTTAGGGAATCCTCTATTCCCTATGATAAATAGACATTAGTCCTCAGTCTTCATAATTACATTTCATGAACCTAAGATAGCAAAAGTATTGGTTGACTTAGACTTTATTTAAAGGATTTTTTGGAGCTTGGTTAATACTCAAACTTGCTTTTCAGACCTTTAAAATACCTGTCAATTATAGTGTTTTATGATTTTTAGCTCACTCACTTGAAGTTAATATTCATTTTGTGTCTATTACAGGTATGGTAGAATAGATTAAAAGTACTGGGAACTTAGGGTCTGGCTGACTCAAAAGGTTGCTTTTAAAAAGAAAGGTTGAATGCCATATTTTCCAGGCAGTCCTCCATCAATATTATTTCTTGTAACAAAATGAATGTTGCTAAGTATAGGGTGGCAGTGAGTTTGATGTTCCTTCCTCTGACAAATATCAATATACGCTGACTAAGTCACCCTTTAAGGGCAGATTCCTGGGGTGTGGAGTTAGAGTGGGTGTCCTTTTCGGAAAACTGGAGAGTCTGACCAGGACTTGTAGAAAAGCTAGGTTGTATCTAATGCAGGTATGTATGTAGGATCAGGTCCTATGAATGAAATTTCTGTCAAAGGGTATGTGTACTTTATTGATAGACACTGTCAAACTGTCCTCCCAAAACACTCCCACCAAAGGGGGGGAAGTCATGCTTTATGGAGTGGTTATAAAAGGCTGGTGGCAAGCTTTGTTTCATATTTTTAATTCTTTCCCTTTGAGTGGAACAGAGTCTCAGACATTACATTGTTATACTGTAGACAAATTCTTTTTTTAAATTTATTGGGATGACATTGGTTAATAAAATTATCTCAGTTTCAGGGGTGCGATTCTACAATACTGCTGTGGGCAGATTCTTTTTGCAGTAGCCTAGCTTTTCTACATGTGTATTGGTTTCCTAGGGCTGCCATAACAAAGTACCACGGACTAGAGGCAAAGAAATAGATTGTCTCACAGTTCTGGAGACCAGAATTCTGAGATCACAATGGCAGAGCCATGCTCCCTGTGAGGGTGCTGGGGAAGGATCTGTTCTAGGCTTGTCTCTCCCAGCTTCTGGTAGTTCCTTGGCTTGTAGCAGCATAACTCCAGTCTTCACATGGCAGTGTCCCTGTGCATGCATATTTATGTCCAAATGTGTCCTTTTTGTAAGGACACCAGTCATATTGGATTAGGGGCCCACCATACTTCAGTATGACCTTATCTTAACTAATTACATCTGCAAAGATCCATTTTTCCTTCTCATATAAAAGTTTTTATTAAACTATACTTTTTCTCTATGCTCTTGACCTACATTGGAAGGTACTGCGAGTCTTGGCCTGTAGCTCAGTTGGTTAGAGTGTCATCCCAACACCCCAAGGTTGTGGGTTAGATCCCTGGTGAGCGTATACAAGAATCAACCAATGAATGCATAAATAAGTGGAACAAAAAATCAATGTTCATCTCTCTCTCAAATCAATAAAATAAAAAATTAGAAAAAAATAAAGGTACTGAGAACTTAAATTCAGTTAATCTTTTTCTGTTTCATTCTTGACTTAAATGATCTGTCTAAAAATGCTGACTTCCTATTTGACTGAGCCATTGCAAACCAAAGATCAGACATTTAACCAAACGCATTGATGGGCATTTAAGATGTTCCTAAAATATTTTATTTTAAACCTTACTCAAGTAACTTCACGATATGAGATTTGATCACAATGTTGCCAGTAACTTAAGGTTTTACAAACATACATCTGAAACACATAGCAATGTCTTCAGCAGAGAGACCTTGTAAGCTCCTGTTTTGTAATATTGCCAACTGACATTACTGCCAAAGATGTTCTATCTCTAATAGGTATAAACAAATTTGTTCTCTTCTTTCCTAAACTTGCTACTCGTCTTGAATTACATACTTGGTGCAATAGCTTACCTTTATGGTCACCCAAAGTGGATAATTCAGTCATCCTTGAGGCCTTCCACTCCTTCTTGATTTTCTTGTGCTACAAGATGTGAGCACTTCTACCTCTCGATTTTCTGGGCCACTCCTATAATTGAGGTCTTTACCTCTTACTGGAACAATTTCAGTGTTTTCTTTATTATCAGCAAGTATTTATTGCACTTGGACTCTGGGTTGTGCACGGGGCAGGGTATGTGTGTGTGGTATAGTTGTGAGTGAACCAGCCAGCAGGAAAGTCAGGGATGTTGAACAACAAGCTCTCATGAATGTAGTTCAAGTTTTTTCTGAAACCCTGATTCTCTTACTTAAATACATGTAGTGCTTTTCTATATGAATGATATATCTCACAAAACAAAAGAAAATAGAGCAAAACTTTTAGTGCCTTCCAATTAGGGATGAAACCTAGATTTGTTAGCATGGAACACAAGACCCTTAAGATCTTGGCACAACTAACCTCTTCTCTCGTTTGCTGTCACTTCTCACATTATACTTGAAATTTCAGCAGTATCTAGCTACTTGTAGTTTCCCAAGGTCACCATGCATCTTCCTGCCCATGCTCCTGGTACATCTTTCTTTCCCTGTCTAACAAGACTCCAGGCATTCATTCACACCTCACTGTGTCACAACTATATATTTGTGTTTTCCAGGTTTCTTACCAAGGCACTGTTTTTCTAGTGCCTTTCTGGGCTGGTACAGTGATAAGTACTCAATAAATACTTGTTAGTTAAATGAAAAGAGAATATGTTTACAACTCAAATAATCAGGTTTATAAGTTTAGATGTTGGTGTGTGGCATATATATATATATATATATATATACACACACACACACTTGCTCTGTCAAGCAAGTGGCCACTGTTGTCAAGTTCTGTCAGTGTGAGAAAAACAATATTTGTTGATGGATGAATGACTTTGGCTGTTGGTCATAATCTCCTAAACACCATGTATTTCATTTTTAAAAAAATCTTTCATTTTCACATAATTCAGATTCACAGAAAAGTTACAAGAGGAATACAGAGAATTTAGTATGTCTTTCAGTCAAATAATAAAATTTTAACAGCATATTACTTTATCTCTTATTTATTTATTGTTAATCCTCACCTGAGGATATTTTTCTATTGATTTTTTTTTCTTTTTTTTTAGAGAGAGTGGAAGGGAGGGAGGGAAGGAGGGGGAGAGACAGAGGGAAACAGTGATGTGACAGAGGCAGACACATCGATTGGTTGCCTCTCACATGCCCCCTGACCTGTGCTGGGGATTGAACCTGCAACCCAGGTATGTGCTCTTGACCAGGAGTTGAACCCACTGAGCCTTTGGTGGGTGGGCGGACACTAACCATTAAGCCACATCAGCCAGGGCTGATTTATCTCTTTTCATCTCCCCTCTGTCTTACTGACTCAGCTCTCTTATTTTTTTCCCAGAACCACCTGAGGGTAAGCCACAGACATGGTATTCCTTTATCCCTACACACTAAATTAAATAGTGTATTTCCTAAAAAACAAGGATATTCTTTTATATTATCAAAATTAGAAAATTAACAATGAACCATTATTATCTAACCCATAGACTATTCATATTTCATATTTCACCTATAAGAAAATGTCTCCTTGGCCTCCTTTAATCTGGAACAGTTCCTCAAATTTTAAAAACTATATTGAGATATAATTGACATAGAAAAAACTGCACATATTTAAAGTGTACAATTTGATAAGTATGACATATATATGCACAGTGTAACCATTACCACAATCATAATCATCATAACCTATCACTCCCAAAAGTTTCTTTGTGCCTACACCCCTCCCTGAACCTGTCTC